CTTCCCATCGATTGTTTCTTCTTTTAGAAAATAAAGATCGTTCTCGATAACACAAAAAAATAAGTATTCATTTTCAAGATTTCTGTCTGGTTTACAGTTCACTAGTTATAACTTCTGAACCACTTTGGAGTTATTACTACTAATATATCTAGCATAGCATGTATATATTTGCGTAAATCCACATTCCTATGAATCTGAGAATCTTTCACAATAGTCTCCATGACCTTGCAAAGCATTCTGCTTGTTATTTGAGGGTCTCCTTTCATAATACCCCATTGTTAGAAGATAACTGATAATGATAATTTGATTCATTACAGTCCTCCAAGCTCAATGCTTCAATTTTTAACAGAGCTATCATTATTGTTTGACTACAAAAAAGTTTTTAGCCCTGAAGAATATATGTTAAAAAGCCTGTCTTTTATTTGAACAATCCTTCTCTCTGATATACATTTTTTCTATTTGTAATAAGGAAAGATCAGGTTGCACATAACTGTCTGAACAGAAAATAAATATTACCTGCCCAAGTTTGATTCCTTGAATGGGTTGTTACAGGAAGTTATTTTCCCAAAACATTTAAGTGGCGTTTGATTAGAAAGTTTGGTAGATTTGATAAACAATTTGAGAGTAGCAAAATATGAATTCTTTGACAATATTAAAAGTAAATAAGAATGAAGTGGTTAGTTGTTCATGATACCTTACATTTAATGCAATGAAACTCTCTAGTGTCACTCTATTTTTTAATCAAAGCACTTTTGAATGCATTGTCATCATTTTCAGAAGTGTCTTGCAGTCTCTTCTCCAGAATTTTTTCTGTTGACAATATCAGACTTTTATTAATATATAAATAAAAACCTAGGTTTTAAAATGTCATTGTTTCATGGGCAGGCATGGCAAAAGCAGTGCAGTGTGAGCAAGTTGGCTGGGCAAGCTTTTGTGCAAGAAAACTTCCTGTCATGGCGAACACTTGTCATGTTGGCAGACATCAAACAGCAGTTTCTGGAGCTGCTTGCAAGCATTGGCTTTGTGTCCCCAGACACTGTCAGGCGACGGAGAGGTGGCAGTGACATAGTTCTGGCCCAAACTGGGCCTGAGGTGAGTTACTCAACGTTTGCCCAAAAAAACAAAGTGGGTCACTTTAGGCAGGTGTTTCTATACTGAATTAAGAAAATTCATTTCTTGCATGTAAATCATCATACTTTTTTATAAAGGTTTGTAAAGTCCAAATTATTCTTTTATGGAAAAGCCTTATTTATTTCCAAAGCAAGCTTGTAAAAGTTATTCAAACAAGAATTTCATGTAACTGCTTCTTATACTCTAGACCAAACTCCATTGTCAGTTGCGAACAAACTTTGTCAAAGAATTTCAGCTATGAATGAATGCTGCTCTTAAAAATGGCTACGGTCTGGCTTTCTAGTTGAACGCCAATGGAGAAAACAACCAGTTGCTGGTAGCCATTCTGTGCGCTGCTCTCTATCCACAAGTGGTGCAAGTTCTAACTCCTGAGAAATCGTATACTGCCAGTGCAACAGGTGCTGTACCGAAACAACCAAAAGCTGCTGATCTTCGCTTCAAGACCAGAGATGATGGCTTTGTAAGTTGCTTGAGTTTTTAAAATCAGAATTATTAAATAATTATATGATTTTCATTTGAGAGACAAGATCCCCTAGAGGGAATGTATGCAAATAAGAGAAAAATCCTGATATATGAGAACAATCTGAAAATGTTTTTATTCTCAGTTTGCATTATATATGTGCAAATGATTTTT